TTTTTATTGATGGAGATTCGAATGAACCTGTTTCGATCCATTATATTTTGTATTGATCCAGTTATTTAATAGTCATTATGTTATATATCGTTCTACAAATACTTAAACTGGATGAGAATTAAGTAAAACCAACTAACATATCAATAGAAACTTTAGCTACTTGTAAAATACGTTAATTTTTCTTAATTTCGTTTCTTTATTATAACGTTTGTTTAATAAGCTGATAATTAGGAAACTGCTAGGAATATTAAACTATAGGTTATATATGACAACATAGTATCCAAAATATTCTCATTTGTGTTGATAGAATGACCACATTGTGATGCTCTGATTTGTTCACAAAAAACATTATAAATAAATGCCAATTTTGGTTGATATATTCACATTATTAATATGAATGATGATGAGCAATGGTGAATCCCCAGAGGAGTGTGCCTGGAAACACAGGTGCATTTTGGTCTTTTTTTAAAAAAAATTGCGGACCAAAGTACACTTGTGTTCTCAGGTCACCCCTTTGGGATCACCTTGTTTTTTTTTTAATATTATAGAATGATAGTTATTACTTAAATACATTCGTTTTATCATTTATAGATTGTAAAATTTTTTTACTCTTTTATGATCGTCCTTAAATATTACTTGATTGATTAAAATATTATCACTGTGGTACTAAAATTTTCAAAGTTTCTTATACTTAATTATAATCTATTCATCAAATAGCTCAGTAACAAAAAGATATGTAGAATACAATTACTCATTTGCTGAGCTAGTTAAAAGTAAGACGTATTGATGTATTCTGTATTTATTTTTATTGAAAAATCATTGAAGAATTAATTTTCGTTAACTCTAACACCAACAACGAGTTGATGGAAGGTTTTTTTTTTATTTTCAATTATTGTTTAACAAATTTATTCATCGATATTTGAAGAAATTCTATTTATTTGTTTTTGTTCATTTGCGAACGATACGTTACGTGAAGCGCAGTTCGATGCACTAAAAGGGGCCGATTAGAAAGAAGGAGCATAAATTCCCATATTACCCTCCATTTCATCTCAAAACTATACATCGGCAAATTCAGAGTCTTCAGTTTCAAAACCCCACCGGGCGCCAGCTAAAACCCTACTGATACCCTACCGTCCGTACAAATCCCGGCGTAAATGGAACCGGAAAAATCCTCAGCTCAAATCAAAGACAAAGATTTGTTCAAAGCCGCTGAATCTGGTGATTCATCGCTCTTCAAATCACTTCCTGAAGAACAACTCCTCAAATCCCTCTCTCTCCGTAATGAAGATGATCGTTCTCTCCTTCACGTTGCCGTCTCTTTCGGACACTCTGAGGTAATTTCAGCGAAAACGAGTAAAAATTGTGCTTCGTGTAACTCCTTCCGCAAAAAATTATACTGTATATACAATGTTAAAATTATTTTTATGTATATAGAGTAGATGTTGAATTCCCTTGGATCGGGATTTTGTAGTTAAAGATTGGTGGAGCTCAGGTTGCGAGAATTAGTTTTGATGCGAATTCAATTGTTGGTTTGTTAATCTTTTTGAGATAAATTTTAATATTTTTGAAATTAGGATTCTCCTGGTATCCTACATGTTTGATGTTTTTCCTGTCCAAGATTCCAACTTTGTGAACTTTAACTAGAAATATGATCAAACGAAGTGTAATCAAAGTCGGATCGAAAGGAAAATAACAACAACAAAATAGCAAGATAAATGAAGCAAATTGTAGTAGTTAAAGGGTGGGATTGAAATGCATCTTTCTTCTCTAAATAATGGTGGCAGTGAGTGAGTCTGTGCGCACGCTAAAACTAATCCTCTTTTTTAAAAATGTTATCATATTCTATGTTTCTCGGACTCTTCAAAAATGTTGTAGTTTGCGTGTCAGATCCTTCAAACTTAGTATACTCTTGGAGGATCCAATAAGGGTGCAATAACACTTTTGGAGAGTCCGAGTAACATAGATCATATTACCAGTAGATAACTAGAATTGTAACTTAAATGTACTTTTGTTTAGTAAAAGATGAATTAGTCTAAGCCATATCTAGTTCTGGGAGTTAGTCGAATCGACTTTCAACAAGGGGAAATGTTTAAAAAAATATCTTCGGTTAAAAGGGGTGCGTGTGTGTGTGTGCAAATCACATTATTTTCAACATTTGGTAAATCATAGGAAAGGATTTTTATGTTTGATTCTCCAAGTAGCAATGGAGTCGAACAAATTTGGGAGGGAGAGAGAGGGCGTACAAATTTTATCTAATTCCTGAATGTGATGTTTATAATGTTGAATATTGGTTTGAGATAATAACTTTGTGAAATTTGGGTTTTTGTGATGGCATATTAGGTGGTGAAGATTCTTGCAGCTGCTGATCCGTCAGTGAGTGGTATAAATAGTGGTGATGAAGAAGGTTGGGTGCCGTTGCATTCTGCCGCAAGCAGTGGTAATGTGGAAATTGTGGAGATTTTGCTTAGCAGAGGTGAGTAGTATAACAATTTGTTGTGTTGAACGTTTTATCTATGTCATATAAAGATTTCATCTTTACAAACTTCATCAAAAAGATTCTATCTTTACCAAACTGGAAATGATATGTCAAAATGAAAGTAAAAAATCCAAAAGATCTCTATGCATTTAAGAGAACAGTTTTCTATAGAATTATCAGCCTTTTGGAGTTTAATTAATTTGTGTGCAATAATTCCACTGACTTGTGGATTTCAAGGAGCAGAAGAAATTGATTGATGTGCTAAACACATATGATCGTGGATGTACAGTTAAAAATATAGCATTACTGAATTTTCTCTATGTTCATTGCTATATCATCATTTGCTCTGTTATACTCAATGGACGAGGTAGTAGTAGATCGAGCTGGCCATTACTTATAAAAGCTATTGGACATCAATGGTATTGTGTTTTAATTTATATACAAATCTTTTGCATTTTGCCTACCTGACATTGCAGTGGTCAGCCATTTAGTAATCAAATGATTCACAACGGAAACTGAATTGTAATAATTTGTGTTTTTGTGCCTGTCCACCTACGCATTCGTGTATTTCACTAACCTGTGAAAGTGTACCGGCTTTTGTCAGCATTGTTTAGAGAGCTTCAATGAACTCAGTTCACTCATTTTAATAGTTGAGCCATGAATTTGTGATGGCAAATGTTAATATATTTGTAAATAGGGGCTGATGTAAATCTGAAAAATGATGGTGGCCGCACTGCTCTTCATTATGCTGCTAGCAAGGGTCAAGTGAAAATAGCTGAACTTTTGATTTCACGTGGTGCTAAGATCAATGCAAAAGACAAGGCTTGTAATCTTATGCTTTGGACTACTCATCTCCTTGAAAAGCTTATTATATTTGATAGTTAGGGTGTTCATAATTTCTTGCTGTTGGTTTATTAATATGTGATATAGGTAGGATGCACCCCATTGCATCGTGCAGCTAGCACGGGGAACTCTCAGCTGTGTGAACTATTAGTTGAGGAAGGCGCTGAAGTTGATGAAGTTGACAAGGCAGGGGAAACACCTCTGATGACTGCTGTTGTATGCGGCAATAAAGAGGTACATAAATCTTGTTCATGAGCTATATAGATCGAAAGGACCATAAATATCTTACAAGTGAACAGTTCACAGATCCCACCCCTCTTTTTTTTTCTTGTGTGTTTGTGAGATAAGGAGATTGTCTTTTCTTGAACACTCATTCTGGGACAAAACAGCAACACATTGTGATTATGTTTACTCGACAGGTAGCTTTGCTCCTCATAAGACATGGAGCAGATGTTGACATTGAGGACAAGGAAGGGTACACTGTTCTTGGTCGAGCTTCTAATGATCTTCGTCCAGTATTAGTCGATGCTGCAAAGATGATGCTCGAAGGATAAACTCCACGACCTCATGATAGCTCATCAGAAAACGCAAGCCAACTCTGTAAATGTTCAACCTGAAGCGTGCTCAACTAGACACATACCGATGAATATTCTGGAACTATTTAGTTGTAGGGCAGAAAACCTAAATGTTGTACTTAACTCTTGGTGATGCTCCTTTAGTTATGACAAGTGCATCCATTTTAGAAAATCTTGATAATTGACTCAAACTTTTGTATCGAAAGATATTTAAATTTATTTAAACAAGAGTCAACATTAAATAACAACAAAATAGCGAGTAAATGATATAAAGGTTGCTAATATATAGTGTAACCATTTTGGTCATGTTTATCCCGTGTTAGTAGAGAGACTATTTCTGACAGACTCCGACTCAAGGAAAAATGAGCCAAGGAAATAGGGTAAATTGTATATAATGACAAATTAATAAATTAAATTAGATATTATAATCACACTTCAATCCAGTTATACCTGGTAGCATACTGTTTGCCAATCACCTCTTTCCCTCAAACTCTCACACGCTACTCTCCCTCTCGCGCTCCATCTCTTACTCGCTCCCTTTCACTTTTATACAAACACAAGTGTATAAAATGTGTTTCTGTTTGTATAAAGCGAGAAAAAAATTGTGTATATATATATATTTTCGTTCCCCTCTCCCAGATCTTGCTCGCCTCTATCGCTTATACAAACGAAAACAAACTGTATAAATTGCATTTCTGTTTGTACAAAGTAAAACAAAGTAAGAGAAACTTATACATACAATTGTATATACATATATCTTCGTCCTATTCACTTATAATTATACAATACAAATATTTTCCTGCCAACTTTTTTTTCTTTCTCGTTTTATACATACACAAATTATACAATTGATTTGTATACTATTGCTTTCTTTTGAATATGCATAGCGAATTATACAATTAATTTCTTTGTATATATATAGTAAATTATACATATATATGTTTGCTATGGAGCGCAATTATACAAACTTTGCTATAATATACAAATATAATTTTTTTGTTTGGTATATGTGAAACTTTGCTATAATATACGAATTGTCCAACTAACAAATGATGGCCCAAAGCCCAACAAGATAAGTAACACTTCCATTTGGTTGAAATTGAATGATGGCCATTTGTTTTCTTGTGCTTCCCTATCTTCTTCTTCTACTACTACTTTTTGGTCTAGTGGAAGCAGAGCAAAAGCAGAATTATGACTATGGCTACTCCTATTTCTCCAATGAAGCAATTCCCTTCAACTGCTCTTCAACCATTCCCATCAATCTTTCAAAGAAAACCAGTACTAATCTCTTCACTTAGAAAAACTCCTCATCTTTTCTCTTATTCATCTCCCAAGTCATTCGTTCCGCTTTCTGCTTGCCTTGCTGTTCTTCTATGGTCCTCTCCTGGTAATGTTATCTTGATCAATCTTTTTTACTTTGCCCCTTTAGCCTTTTCTTATGTTTGTTTACATAGTCTTGATGTTATATGTATTGAGCTATGACTATAGAAGCGGATCTAGAATTTGAATTTCAGGACGTAACATAAGCATATACATTTTGTCCATTCAAGAGGAGTATTATTCTCTTTGATCCATCGTCGTGTAAGTGAGGAATGTCAGTCATCATAGTCCCAACTTAAAACTATTAGTTTTTTCGTCGAACTTGTGTATTCAAGGGATATAGAGGGTTCATATTCATTAGGAAATGATAAACTGTTTTGTTTATCTAATTTAGTTTCAATACAATTTATTCGTTTTCAATGTTTAGATACTAATAAAGATGTCATTCTGTTCCAATTGCAGCTAATGCTGGATTTCTTTCGGGTTATACTGGTATAGAATCAGTTCCTGGCCCTGAATTACCTAAGATTGAGTTTCTTAATCGTTGGAACGGTATTATCTCAAACTAACATTGTAAATAAAACTCCGCTAACATTTTGCAGTAAGATCATGATATGCTCTTTTGTTGCAGATAATAATCAGAAAAAGTATGCAGAACTCGATGAAAAATTCAAAGAGTCGCCTTTGCTTAAACAGTTACTCGAAAAATCCAAGCAAAATAAAGAGAAGTAAGTTTTCTTTCATCTCGAATGATTAGCTTTTGAATACACACACGAGATATCATTTCTGTAGTATGATTTTTCGACGAAGGAGTGAAAATTGATGATGCACTTTCATATGTTGTCCTTTTAGTGATCACACCGATCAAGTACCAAACAAATGGTAATTTTTCGTGTTTTTTTTGTCAGGAACAAAAGGTCAATTGAAGACAAGTATTGTTTACGCGGAGCTGAATGGGGAGTTGGAGATTGCTCAACAGCAGGAATGACACCAGAAGACAGAGATAGCTTCATTGCCATGTTGAAGCAGAAGGCTGGTGTAGAATGAACGCGCAATTATGTACTACTCTTTATCGATGATGCTGGTTTCAATTTCCGAATGCAGAGAGTGAAGATTGAAGCGTAATGCTGAAAATTCGCGATAGGAGACGGGGAGTTTGATTGAGCCTTATAACCTGTTAGTATTAGCATAAGCACAAGAACATGTCAAAAGGGACATTTCTTCTATTGTTCTATAGCTTGTAAATACATTGCACTAGTAAATTATGAGCTTGAGAGTGGCATATTGATAGCGTCTGATATACCGTCAACTTTTTCATTTAGAGGTGATATACTCTTGTAATAAAAAGTGGCTCATATACTCATACTCCTACCATTACAAAAAAAATAGCTCGTATATACCCAATCGTTATAGAAGTGGCTAGCATATACATGTACAGTAAAAAAAGTAAAAAAAAATCATTTTGAATTTAGTAAACAAAATATTTTTACTTTCATTCTTTAGTGTAAAAATAAGAGAAATGAAAAGAAAAGACTGTGTCTAGAAAAAAGATTTAAAAGTTTTTTTTTATTGCTATATAGTTATCTAATCTTTATATCTATTAAAAAAAATATTTAGAGCATTTATAATAAATTTTATGAGAAAATAAGTGGAAGAAATTAATTTGACCATCAAAATAATAAATTGAAAATAGTTAATGAATAAAAATAATCAAAAGGAAAAACAAAAACTTGCGAGAAGGATCTATATACCCTTTATATGAATTGTTCTTCTTCTTTTTTTTTTTTTAAGTAAAAATTTTAAAATTATTTTTTTACGGTAAAATATATATAATCTCTTAATAATAAAATTGTGAAATATTATAGTAAATATTTTTTGTTTTACATTTTAGCAGCGAAAGAAGAGAGGGAAAATAGTTACATATGAATAAAGCATAAAACTCAATTATGAAATGTGATTTATAAACAATATCAATACCTTTACCTATATTAGCATTCGTATTATTACTACATTGTTATCTAAATTTTATATATGTGTGTTTTTATTTAAAACTTATTTATAATTTATTTATGAAAACAACAACGTTTAAGACGAGAATATTTATCTTATTGGTGTTACGTTTGTTTTGTGGCAATTGTTGGTGATCACTGTTTCCTTTACCAATATTAATACTCTTATTATAATAATAATAACTATGGGTGATCACTTCTTAAATAAAAAATACGATTCAAATAAAAATATATACCCTAAATTGAATTATTTTTTCTAAAAAATAAAAAATTTGAAAAATTATTCTCACGGTAAAGTATATATAAACTCTAAATGACAAAATTACAAAATATTATAAGTTAATATTTTTATTTCACATTTTAATCGCGGAGATTTTTAATCGAATAACGCATAAAGCGCAGCGATTTATGAAGAACATTAGTACTGGAGTTTCGTACCTTCTCCTTTACCAATATTAAATAATAATAATAATAATAATAATAACAACAACAACTAGGGGTGGTCATGTTATAGATAAAAAAATTGATTTAAATAGAAAAATCGAACCAAATCGATTTTATTTGTGTTTAATTATAAATTTTTAAAAATAAATAGTATCTGATTTGAGTTTAAATTTGTTTAGGTAATAAAAGAAAACAATTAAATCGAATATGCTATTTATGAAAAACATCTTATTATAATAAGGATGATAAGTAAGATTGGTCACTGTTTAGATTAAAATCGATTCAAATTGATTAAGTAAATCAATTTTATTTGGATTTGATTTGATTTGGTTTTAAATTGTAGAAAATTTTTAGTATTTGGGTTGATTTCGTTTATGTTAAGAAGAACTGAATCGAATCGGATCAAATCAAACATTTATATATTATTATTATTATTATGTACTCTTTATAGATATTGCTAGTTTCAATATTAAATGTAAATGGATGATGCAAAGAGTGAAGATTGAATCGTAATGACATTAAAAGCTTTTAGTAATACGTTGAAGAACTTGTCAAGGGACATTCTTTCATTGAAAATACATCGCATTAGTAAACTATGAGCTTGAGAGTGGCATATTGATGTTAAGGAAATCGGTCAGATAAATCCGTTAATTTTTTCATTTAAAGCTGATACACGAATATAAAAATGACTTGTAAATACTCCTACCATTATCAAAAAATAGCTAATATATACCTCAACATATACATGTACCGTTACAAAAGTTTAAAAAATCATTTGAAATTTAGTAAAATTTTTATTTTTACTTTCATTCTTTAGTGTAAAAATAAGAGGAATAAAAAACAAAAGACGTGAGTAGAAAAAGATTTAAAGCTTTTTTTTATTATTGCTATAATGTAATCTAATTTAATATCTATAAAAAAAATTATTTAGAGCATTTATGATAAATTTTACAAGAAAGTAAGTGAAAGAAATAAATTTGATCATCAAAATAATAAATTTCAATTAGTCAATAAATAAAAATAGTCAAAAGAAAGAAAAACTTGTGAGAAGGATCAATATACTCTTACATGAATTATCTTTTTTTAATAAAAAATTTTAAAATAATTTTTTCACGGTAAAGTGTAAATAAGCTCTAAATAACAAAATTGTGAAATATTATAAGTAAAAATTTTTTGTTTTACGTTTTAGCCGCAAAAGGAAGAGGAAAGATGAAAGAGAAAATAGTTGCATCCTAATATATATATGTGTTTTCATTAAAAATTATTTATAATTTATTTATGAGAGCAAATATGTCCATTTATCTTATTGATTTTATGTATATAAGTGTATGTAACAATTCTTGGTGGGACTAGGAATCCTACTGTCTCTTTCTTTTAGGCCAAAATAGTGAATTTTGAAGATGTACTCATTGTATATTCAATTATAATCATTCTAACTATTTTTCGTTTCGAATGAATTGTTATCTTCCCTCTTTCAAATAAATTTTTCTTTTATTTTAAAGTATGGTTAATAGCCAAATAACCAAACCAAACTGAAATCGATAATAACCAAACCGATAAATGCATTATACATTTTGTTTTGTTTGGTTTTAATACTATTAAAATCGACTAAATTGGTTTGATTTTGATTTTGATTAATAATTGACCTGTAAACACCCTAAATTAATAACATTGTCTATTTCTTCAATTTTAGTATTAACATTGATTATTTTTACTAGTTTTGCTGTCAATATTTCTTTTAATAATTTTGTTACTCAGATTATAACTTACATATATATCATGTTACAACACTCGCATACATTAATGGAGCGTAAATTTCGTAATGAATGTACTATTATGATTATAATATAAATATAGAAAAAAATAACCAACTTAATATTATAAGTAATTATAATTTCAAGAAGTTACAAAATGTAACTAGATTTTTGGATTTTGCAGTAAGCACACAATATATCACGTGTTGATACAACTCTTTCGCGCGTCTTCAACAGATACAACTGACACCCGCCTGATTCAGTTAATACCTGACACCTGAATACCCGCATGATTAAGTTGATAACCATAACCTAAATACAATCATTTTATTACACAAACTCTTCCACCTTCCGTCTAATACATCACCTCAATTAAATCTATATTATGTAAATATACAAATTATAGCTATATTACATAATGTCGAGCTAAATTAAGTCATTTATGAGATTTTCTATATCTTTCACCAAAAGGGAAGTTAAACAGTTTCATTCATGAAAATATTTATTTTCATCTACATAAAAAGAAAAAAGAGGAACATTCACAAAAGGTGCTTACTATTTTTATAAACAATTTTAAATATCTTACGTATGTGTGTTTTCATTAAAAAATATTTATAATTTATTTATAAAAGTAAAAAAATTATTCAAAACGAGAACATTTATCTTATTGATTTTAAGTATATAAGTGTATGTGACAATTTTTGGCGGAACTAGAAATGCTACTGTCTTTCAGGCGATAATGGTGAATTTTGAAGCTTTATTCATAAAATATTCAATTATAATCATTCTAATTATTTTTCGTTTCAAACGAGTTGTTACCCCCCCTTTTCATATAAATTTTCTTTTATCTTTAAGCATGACTAATAGTCGAATAACCAAATCAATCTGAAATTTATAACAACCAAACTGATAAATGTATATTACAGTTCGTTTAGTTTCGTTTTGATGATATTAAAATCTACTAAATTGGTTTGATTTTGATTTTGACCAATACTTGACGTGTGAACACGTCTAAATTAATAACATTGTCTATTTCTTTAATTTTATTATTAATGTTGATTATTTTTATGTTGGTTATCTTTACTAGTTTTGTTGTCAATATATCTTTTCTAATTTCGTTATTCAGATTTTTTTTTATATATATATATATATATATATATATATATATATATATATATTTTACAACACTCACATATACTAATGGGACGTAAATTTCATAATGAATGTACGAATTATAATTATAATTTAAATATAGAAAAATAACCAACGTAATATTATAATAAGTAATAATAATTTCAACAAGTTGCAAAATGTAATTATATTTTGGATTTTGTAGTAAACACACAATATATCACGTGTTAATACAATTCTTTCGCGCGTCTTCAACAGATATAACTGACACCCGCCTGATTCAGTTGATACCCGCCACCTAAATACGATCACGTGTTGATACAAATCTTTCGCGCGTCTTCAACAGATAGAACTGACATCCGCCTGGTTCAGTTAATACCCGCCACCTAAATACCCGCATAATTGAGTTGATAATTATAACCTAAATACAACATTTTAATTACACAAACTCTTCCGCCATCCATCTAATATATCATTCAATTAAATATATATTACATAAATATACAAACTATAGCTATTTGTCTGGCTAAATTAAGTCATTTATGAAATTTTGTTATATCATCTGCCAAAAGGGAAGTTAAAAAGCTTCATTTTATGAAAATATTTTTCTTTTTACATAAAAGGAAAAAAGAGGAATATTCACAAAAGGTGCTTATTTGAAACTCTGACAAGAATTCAGAGGGCACCTGAGTAATTAATGAAAAATTATTAAACAGTGATTACAAAGAATAGAAAATGACAAAACAACCCACAATGATAACTTAAAGCTAAAAAATTCCACAAATTCCCAAATCCACTCCTCCATCTCCAAAGGGAGTCCCGATTTTGGCTATAGCTCATTTTTTGGACCCCACCCCTCCAGCACAATTCCCTCCTATTGCCAACCTAGCTTGTTGTCTTGTTGAAATTTCACATCCATTCACAGGTGATTTTCTTGAAGAATTCTCAAAGGGTATGTGTTTTGTTGATGATTTTGTTGATATGTTAGTTTTTTTTCTTTGTGGGGTAATGTATATGTGAT